AATATGGACTTCTCGATGGGGGTAGATATTTTATATTACTTAATCGAAAGATTACTTGCAAGGTATTTAATTTTATAGTTTCAAATTTTTCACATTTCTGAAACCATAGTTGTATAATTTTCAAGGTTCCATATTCTTTCTACAAATTTCGAGATTCACAAATTTTCTACTTTATACATTTTTCAATTTTTATTCTTCAATATTTCTAAACATGTCAGTTCTAAATTTAAGTCCTTCAATTTCTAAATGTCTAAATCTTTAGCACCTAAATTTTCAATTTTCAATTTCTAAAATATTCCACTTAAAAATAAACAATTTTTAGTAATTGTATCAAGTAAAGTGCACCTCAAGTATTTTTATTTTGTTCTACGAATTACAAAATTTTCTTGAAGTTTACATTTAGAACAGTTGAATCTCCTTCCAAGTGTAACTAAACGTGTTCAAAAAGTGTAACAAAAAACGAGCAGCCAAAAAGAAATTTGATTTTTCCTAGCATAGGTGTAAATAAATTTACACGGATTCCCAGGACTCGCATTCGTAACTAGTTACGCAAATATTTGATGTATCTATTTGAAGGGACGCAGTCGAAAATCGGTTGCAGGTTTTTTCAAATATTTGCACTGCCGCGAGTATTTTTCGCCTATCGATTTCGATTAATTTCGATGGTGCATTCTCGTTATTTTAACGTGAATTGAAAATAGCTAAATATTTGTTGCTAGCAGCGTGCACATTTTACCGCAAGTCTGTTTTGTACACCCGGTTCGCGTACCAGCACCGAAAGAACATTATGTGACCCAGTTTCATGCGAAAACTAACAACATCGTACTCCTGTGTTCGGTAAACTTTTTCAAAATACTTTGCCTTTGTTCGTGTACCGATTAAAATATTTTATTGTTGCGTGGTATGCGTTTCGTATCGAATTATTGTAATTATACGTTAAACGGGTAATTTTAAAAGAATTTTTGGTTCAAATACATTTTTGCTTGATTAAATTTTTTTAGGGTGGAAGGTAAATCATTTATTATTTTTTATTTGTATTGGAAAAATTTGGAATATATTTTTGGTTGGATAAAAATCTTGGTGTATGTTTATTTTGATTTGAAGATTTTTTCAGTAAGGTCTAATTTTTATGTATTATTAACACAATCAGTTTTCAAAAAATTTGTGTAACTTAAATTATTTGTCTATAAACAAGTAATATGATATAAATAAATAATCATACTCAATAATCATATCAAGTCACAATTAATATAATAAATAACCTGGTAACATAACCTAACTTATGACATTAGTTTTAACCTAATTCCACATTATCTTTGAGGTCATGTTAAACTTCAGTTCACTCATACTACTTTAAAATCGTGTAAAGTTTACATTAAAATTAATCCTCTAAAATTTCCATTATAATACATTATACTCTGATAAAAATATTCCGTAATAAACCATTTGACACATAATTAGCGAGTTTAAGAAATATAGTAACGTCTTAAAACTCGAGTGAAAATAAAATAAAAATCTTGTCGGTAAGTGGAATCGTTCCAAGCATCTTTTGCGGGAATAATTTTTATCCCATCGTAGCAGAAATTACAGAGAACCACGAAAATGTAGATAAAATCTTCTTCGCCCAATGGAAGTCGCCATCTTTGAAGATATTTGCTCCCTTTTCGGTCAAGCTCGTCTTTGATCGTTCGCAAACAGAAACATAACTCCGGCCGTATCTCCTAATAGGCCACATCCGAATTAACCAATGGTTATAGTCCCCGGTCAGAGATAGTCATTTTATTTTGCTAACCCGTCCTGATTTCATCGCAATGTTATTTTTACAAACCTTTGCAAACTTGAAAATTTCTTAGGTTACAATAATTGTTCTTTCAAACTGACCTTAAAAATTTATGGTCTCAGAAATTAAATTCCTGTATTTTGGTAAATTTTTAAATAAATATTTTTCATCGGTAAAATTATTAAAAACTTGACTTCGAAAATTATGATTGTGTTTTCATAAAAATTTGCAGTATGCATACTATTTTAAATTAATTAATAAATTCTCGACAGAAACCTTAAGCTAAAAAATATTAAAAATTACGGAAACTTGTAAGCGTCTACCCAGAAAAATAGCAGGTCCCAAAAATTTGATAAGACAATTTATCGCGTAGACGCGGGTAGCGTTCAGATGCTTGTCTTCGGAAGACAAATTCTATGATACGCTGTGCGGTTTATCGCGGCAGCAAAACGCGGCGAAAAAAAAGAAGAGGGATGTCCAAGTTGCGAGGCACGTAAATTTTCACCGGCGAAATATTTGAACGACGTGGAATCACAGTTTGAAAGTATCCGTGGGCAGAAGTTGGTGTCTGTTGCACGCTCTATTTCACGCGAGAATGCTGGCCCCACGATTTTTCACGAAAATGAAATGTCATACGAAATGAGCGCGCCGTGTACATTCCCGACTTGCTTTTGATAAAGGATGAGCACTATTATTCTAATGGTGGCGCGGTCACATTCTACACGATTCTGCATCAACTGTAAATATTTTTCTTGACTTCTCGCGCGTTGCCGTTTCAAAATAAAACTTCCTGAAGTTTGGGAAAAATGCTCCACCGCGAAGGATCTCGTTTCGAACTTCGTCGTTGAAGTTCGAAGACGTGTTGGATAAAACTATCTGCTATTTGAAACTCTTGAGTATTTTTGACAATGTGTGTATTATTCTACAGGTGTAAAATTGTAAAGTTCAGGTCAATTTAGAATCAATTAGCTGCTATTTTAGCACAATTAGAGGCAGCAGATTAGGTTAAATTAGATGGGGTTAGGATTAGTTAATTTAGGTTACGGTAGTGAAATTTAACTCTTAATACTAAGTTAGGTTGGATAATGGTTAAATTAGGTTAAGATAACCGTAATCGTAGTTCAATTGTAGCTGGAATTTAGGTTAAGTTGAATTAGGTAAAATAGCTCGAATACAGCTGGAATGTTGGGTTAAATTGAATTTTAGTATAATCGGAAATTTCATAAAATGTAATGTGTATCTTGTACATACTGTGCTATGTATATTAAGTTATACAATATTTATATAAAATTATGTGTATAATATTCTGTATGCGTATCATGTTTTTTTACGCAATGATTTATTGTTAAAAATGTGTATATTCAGTAATATAATATTTATGTCTTACAACTTTAGATTACTTAATAAATCCTGATAAAGAGTACTACGCTATCATGGTAGAAATTGATGTACATGATCAGACATTATACCAAAATTCAATCTTTCATTTTCATTTTTTAATCTATCTATATATATGTATTATTAATTCGATACTAACACATCAAATTCTATTTCCATTTCTCTTCAAATAATTAATTTAATTAAATTTTATAGTTTGAGCCACTGATGGCCACTATTGAAAAAGTACCTATGAAGAATATTTAATAAGATAGTATTTTGTTATAAAAATTTTCCATGAAATTATGAAACAGATTTATTTAGAATCACGTTGACATACGATAAGGCCATTATAATTTGATTAAAACCAATGTGCACATTGACCGACTTATTCGAAAATGATAGCATATCAAGCACTCGTTCGCGAACGGTACCAGTAATTTGCATACTATCTACCAAGTCATTTGAAAACAGTAGCACCTCGATAACCCGTTTAATCTTTCATAATTGTATTTATCCAATATCCACTGCGATTCAATGTTCAATTTCAGACCGTGCAAAATGAACTTTGCACCCGAACGTATTTTTATCGGAAGAAGATAGCAAATTTTTATTCTTTCTTACTGGAAACTTGATAACATTTTTGCTATGTTTCAATACTAAATATACATCTTAAATTATTTATTTTTTAACTAAATATATGATGCTATGAATTTAATTTTGAAATACAGTGAAATATTTATAATGCTACAAATTAAATTTTACTGTGTTTCAACCCTTAATTTTAACTCTTATTTTAATACAATAAATTAAAACAGACATTTTAACAATATCTATAATTTTATAATTTAAGTGAAGTATCACTTAACATTTTATATACAGTGAAATATTTATAATGCCGCAAATTAAATTTTACTATGTTTCAACCCTTAATTTCGACATTCATTTTAATACAATAACTTAAAACAGACATATTTCAACTAAATTTTTAATTCTATAAATTGAAAGTTGAAACATGGTGAAACATCTATAATGTAACAAATTACGATCTACTATGTTTCACTCTTGATTTCAACACTCATTTTAATACAACTTAAAACAGACATTTCATAACTAAATCTACAATTTCGTAAAATAAGTGTCTAAACACAGTGAATAATCTATAACATACAAATTAAGTTTCACTATGTTCAACCCTCAATTTCCAGCACCATAAACGTTCTTCCACACCTGAACCCCTAATTCATACCATTCGAAACTTGCCACAATCCGCCACTTCTACAATAAAAGAAAATCGGTAAAAATATGTGAACTTCAACTCGTTACATTAAACCGAAGTTCAACTAACCGTCAGCCGTTCTGACCGCGATATATGGCCGCGGTTCTCGTCATTCGTAAATAGAGTCTGGTACCACAAGGGGCCGTCTCGTTCGCCACAAGTCAAACACTCTCTAACGGAGAGGTCAAAATTAGCCGCGTTCTTCGAGATTTCCTGCTCGCAGCCGGCACGTTGTTCGCATGCTGAACCGCCGGTGGCGGACAAAGAGTGTAGAATCGTTAGTGTGTGTGTGTGTGTGAAAGCAAGTCTGCGGCGAGGGGGTTGGTTAGCAAAGGGGTTGCACAGCACGCGTGCGACCGGCTCCGACTAAGAAAAGTCGAAAATCTTAATTCGGGGGCGGTACCGGGGTTGCGATGCGATGGGCGGCGACTGGTAAGCGGCGATTGGCTTGGTTCGGCCAAAGGGTGAGAGATTTGCTACGGGGGTGGCGGTGATATGCGCCGTGACGCCGGCACGTCGGCGTGTTCACGTCTGCCCGAACCGGTCCTTTTGCTGCTCGAGGACGCCAGTCAACGCCGGGCGTCCCAAGCGTACAGTCGTCGGCTATTCTCGTCGTCGTCGCTCGACGATCGCGCGCGTGTTTCACCTCCTCGTGGTTATTGTTACCTTCCCTCCTCGATCCAAATCGATTACGACTCTAGGATGCGCTCGAGGGATGTAATCTTTTACAAAATCCAAACGTGAGTCCACTGATCCGAGCAAGTGCAACGTGCGTTAGTTTGTTTACGTTGTGATCGACCGGGATGGAAGGTCGTCCGGAAACCGCCTCTGGAGAACGCTTCCGGTGCGAGAAGCTCGACTCGAACGGGCAGCGTGCGTGCGCGGATGAAAGCTGGTGCATCTCCAGGGCATCGTTTCGCGAACGCAACAATTCCGATCGTTCGACGGGCATCAGAGACCCCGGTGGTGTGTCTGTTCGTTGCGGATGCGGTTCTTACGCGGATCGTGATTGTGCTAGCGATTTCAACCTGCGACAGAGAGTTAGGCTCATGGTTAGAGAAGTCGGGGCCAATTTTGCGCCCAGGATGACGGCTGTCTTTTTGATCGCGTGCATCATGCTACTGGACAGCCGGCAAGCCTCTGCCGCTTTCACCACTGGTGAGTCAAATTTTTCTCACGTTTAACAACATACTAACTCATTACATAAAACTTTGAGCTTTATTTACATACGTTTGTCAAACGCTTTTATCATGTCACTGAATTTGAACATTTTAACTAAGTTCATTGACACTTTCATGAATTTCTAACTTTCTAAAGGAAGTTCATGTTAAGTGTCATTCGTGTTTAAGGTTTGAAAGAATGTTCTAGTATTTGAAGTGATTGCCATGTTCTGAGAGGAAACAAATTCTGCGTTGTACATGATTAAAAAGTATAGAAATTTAACATGAGATAACTACTAATTAATACGAGGAAAAATGTTTGATCGGAAGAAATGTTATCTTTAAAGTTTGCACTGGTTCGCGTAATACGAGAAGATAATGTGCTTATGTCAGTCCAGTAAAATAGCAAAAACGATGATTGAAAATTTGTTACTCGCACATACACATTTGGTACACGTTAGTAAATGTGTGAAAGCACATATGTTCTCATATGTTAATTGATGTCCAACATATACAGTTTTGTACAGATGATGTTCATACATACACGTGTCATATTAATAAACATATCTATTTACATTAACGTCAAGACGTTCATATATGTTTCATATATATTAATAAACATACCTATTTGCATTAACATCAAGACCTTCACATACATGTTTCACATATGCTCCTAAACACGTAAGGACATTTACTCCTTATGCAATGAAAGAGTAAAAAATAAATTTAACAATATAAAGATTTTTCAAAATATCAAAACACAATTTTTCCCCAAATATAAAGCTGTTTCAGCAACCGCTTCAAAGTTCACAAAAGGGTTTAAAAATCCGTCTAACAACAAAAACTAAAATTTTATATCATGCAACATGCATAAAAGTGTGAGAAGATTAACAAGGTAGTGAAGTGAATTACCAGAAACAGTTTTGAAAACTTTTGGACAGTGTTATTGTTCAATTGGTTCCATAGATCGTTTATCAATCAGAGCGTACATGTATCGTAAACTTCATCACGATCCATGTATATAAACCGTCCACCATATGCGTATATACATATATACATATCCGTCACCTCTCTTTTTCACTGACAACACTCGTGGCTGTTTGAACAACGATTTAAACGCGCATCGTTCGATCAACGCGTAACCTCGGATTTCATTTTGGCTACGTTAAATCAGGAAACCGACAACGGCGCAAAGTGCTCCCGGAAATTATAGCCTGTCCAAATAGACGGTCAAAGGAGTGGGTTTTCAACGGTGGAAAATAAATTTCGCGACACTCGTGCACGCGGCTCAAATTGCCCAGGACGAGAACACAAAAGTTGTCGTTCGTTAATGAATTGTTTCTTTTTCGACGATATTGAACTCGATTTCGAGCGTTGCAACTTTCGAATAACTCGTTTCAACGAAGCTGTTCAAAGTTTTAATAGCTGTTGTGATTCGTGATCGATGTGAAGAGTTTAGCGTAATGGAGGGATTACGTATTTTCAAATTTTTTTATTTGTAAGATTCGAATTCTTTAATTTTTCGGTTTTTGATTTTTCGATTTCTGAATCTCTCAGTTGTCAACTTTGTGAAGTTTTTAACTTCAGAATTTTTCAAAGTTTTCAATTTTCCAGTTTCCAATTTTCCGGTTTTTCATTTTTTAAGTTTTCCAATTTTCTAGTGTTAGATTTTTCCAATTTTCCAGTTTTCCAAATTTTCCAATTTTTAAATTTTCTACTTTCCGAGTTTTCCCGTTTCCAGTTTTCCAATTTTCTAGTTTTAGATTTTTCCAATTTTCTAATTTTCCAATTTTTCAGTTTCCTAGTCACCAGATTTAGATTTTTCCAATTTTTCAATTTTCTATTTTTCCAGGTTTCCAATTTTCCACTTTTTCAATTTTCAAATTTCAAATTTCAAATTTTCATATTTTCAAATCTTCAAATTTTCAAATCTTCAAATTTTCCAATTTTCCAATTTTCCAATTTCCCAATTGTCAGCTTTCCCATTTGCTCCTTTTCAATTTCTCAATTTTCCAATGTATCAACTTCCTAATTTTTTAAATTCTCAATTTCTTCATCATCCAATTTTTCAATTTTCCATCTTCTAAATTTCCCACTTCCTTTTTACTAATTTGTAAAGTTCTCCAATTCTCCAGTTCTCAATTCTTCACAAGTTTCTAAAATTCTCCAACCCCATCTTCCAAAACTGCCCAACGATATTTCAAAAATTTGCCCACACTCTCCACCGTCATATCAAAAACCATATCCAAAAATTAGCAATTACAAAATTCAGAATTTCATAGACACCTTCATATCTAAATTCGAGGAACATCCATTTGTAAATTACAAAATCCGATGAGCACACACACACAAAAACACGAGAAATAATAACCATCAACCGATTAAAAATGTTTCCACCGTCAGAAACGTTGTTGCGAGTAAACGGTTCAAAGAGTTTCCGGTGATAATTCAATTCATCCATTTTGCAGCATCAAATTCATTTCGCAAACGCGAAACAATCTCTTCCTGGCCCTTTGTCCGTCGACGAGCCTTTGTGCACGTCGACGTCGTCGTTTTGAACGACACCTGGTTGCAAGCGTCTCCTTCCTGTAAGCGTCGTCGTCGCAAAAAGCTCGTTGCCGGTTCTAATACCGAGGCACAGCCTGAAATTACACTTCAATGGCGAAATTGCGGCCAGGAATGAGCTACTACGCGGCCTCCGTGTTACCCCATGCATAATTCATAAGCGACGCGTCACGGGGAAACCTCGGGCGATAAATATTTGTTTGAGGGCGGAAGGACGCAAAAGTGCATGCAAATGAATTGGCCCTAATGTAGCCCGGTGCTAGTTACACGCTGTTCTAAGCACACCTTGAGCACCTTCATCTTCAACGTCCTTCCTTGTCCTTCATCTCACCTTTCTGACATCATCTTTTCGAGGCTAAACGAGGAATATATTGAACCTCGTGTCAGCTATGTTCATGATCTTCTTTTTAACACCTTGACATTGTCGTTTCTGATATATATGACTGCTCGTGTGTTACACATTGTTACATTTATGACTACATAACTACATGTGGTATTTGTAACTGTATATGTAAATCAGAACTAGTGAAGATCTGGAGATGTATACATATGTATATGTACATACATGTATACATACATATAAACATACATATGTATATGTACATACATGTGTACATACATATATGTATACATATGTATATGTATACATACATATATATAATTAATAATCTTACTAATAGGTTAACTATTAGGTTAGCTAATAGGTTAACTATCATATGTGGAGCACATATGAGTGGAGAACATATGAGCAGTGAGGAAGGACTACATCTTTATTCAATAGAAAATTAACAACTTCCATTTTGTATGCATATGTGAGATAACCACATATTCACATGAGATAACCTCACTATTATCACATACTATATGACCACATAATTAACTCTTAACACATCATTATTACGCAATGAACTTCTGCTAATGCATGTCGCATAATTAACTGGACTTACATACTTGCCACATAACCTGTCTTATCACATATGTGTAATGAACTAGCTTTAGCATACTAGGTTTAACATACTAGCCTTAATATACTAACTTAACATATTACATGATTAGCTTGTTCACTTACAATTATAATTACCTTGTAGATAAAAATTATCCTCTACATAAGAATGTTTTATCTAAAGCATTTAACTAAAAGTTAAGAAAATGTAGGTACGAAATTTGACAAAGAAAGAAAATAGTAACCATCTTGTTATCGGACGCAGAATTTTCTTGCCGGTTGCTTCCGTTCATCTTGCAACGCGAGATGGAAACGAGTGGAAACGGGGATACTTTTGGATAATCGGATGAGAGCCAGATGAATATTCACGAACGCATACGTATGTGCGCGAAGGGAAAAGTAGGATAATCCGTGCCACTACTCGAGTCTGAATTTTTACCATTTCCTTCACCGGAGGCGAAAAGGAAATTATAGATATTGTTACGTATTTCGTGTCTCCTTCGATCATCCTCTGGAAATTTAACTAACGTCATACCGCGTTCGATCGATACGATTTTAGAATATTCCAGTCAAAAGAGGTTATGTTGGGTTCAACCAATGAGGCTCCCTTATTTATTTACTAACTGTTATTCCGGAAAACTGTTTCTTTATGTCTCGTCGTTTATGCAGCATGACGTATTGATCATTTGTACTCGAAATAAAAATCTGGTTTATCTTCAGGTTAAATGACATGACATATTTGCTGAGTATATGTGAAATGTTTAATATCAATGACGGTAGACATATTCTTAGATTATTTATGTTTCAAGTGTTAGGTTAAAATATTTTATAGAAATACTGTCATTGTATTTCTGGATCACTAATATTTCAATATTTTTGTATTGTAAAATTTTTGCATCTTTGTACCTCAGTATCTAGTTTCTTGTATTCATATATTCTAAAACTCGTACATCCCAGTTTTCTACATCCACATTTTCTTGTATCCCCATATTATTATCTCCGTCCTTAAATCTTTGCACCCTCACTCAATGCAAATTTTAAAACAAAGAAATATTTTTCTCAACGTATTCGCAAAGGGAGACAAGAAAGGGTCTGCATTGATCAGAAAAAAGCGCCACAATGGCAGAATCATTGCCCTCGTCCCCAAAAGCTCGCATGTAATCCCTGAATAAGCCAATCCCGTCCGTCGTAAAATACATCGTAACGCAGGAAATATTTTTGCATCGGTCACGCCGCGTCCACGATTATCCACGGGTTGATCCCGCTTAGGGGTGGTTTAGAAAAAAAAGGAGGTCGAACAAGTGGTCGAAATGTGCAGAAATCGTTTGTATTTGCACCACGTAGCGCGCAGACCTCGCGAACACATTAGATATTAAATTTAGCCCGCTTACAACTGTCGCTGTACCTAATTAGGGGTGTGCTCCCCTAGCGAAACAGATGGCAGCCCTTAGGCGACCAGATAATTCCGTGAAGAGAAGAGTTCGAGGGGA